GTATGTTTTTTCTTTTGTCTGCTTCTCAATATTATAAACGTTCTTCCCTGCATATAAGCGGTAACTTTTCTTTTGTTAATTTAAAGATATAACAAGGACCAGTAACAGGACCACACACGTTCCCCTAACAGTGATTTCACGCCGAGAGGTACAGTTAGATGGAAGTTTTTAATCTTTGCCCTAAGTAAAATAGTCTTCCTCTGCCCCTAACTAGGTGGAATATATTCCACAGCAATATATAAAACTTCTTTGTGACGGAATTTTCATCAGAATAAGTACAAAGGCATCAATAATCAAACTTCACATACATTACTTTCTATAAAAATTTGTTGCTCAAAGTCCATGTTAATTATGTTAGAAAAATGATTAATATACACTTTTTTTATTCTTGTACAACTTATTATTACACTCCTTTTCTAAATAAAATTAAAATTCCATCCCTACCCAAGTCCTACATATATATCCCCGCACACCCACTCAATGTCTCGGACACAAAAAATTAAATCAATACATTGTTATGCAATAACTGAAATGAATTGAAATTTTTACATTATTTATAAAGTGTTAAATAACACTATTTCTTGTTTGAGTAAAATTTATTTTGGGTCCCTAACAAAAATTACGATTCCCACTTTCGTCCCTTACAAAAAAATATCCATATTATTAGTCATTTTTAGAGACTAAATTGAGTCTTAATTCAATTTTCGAGGGACTATATTTTTAAAGAATCGAAATTGTAGAGAGACCAAAAGTTGACTTTTTTTTATAAGGGACAAAAGTGAGGACCGTATTTTTTGTTAAGGACCCAAAAAGAGCTTTATTCTTCTTATTTTCTCAACACACAAAAAAAGAAAAAGAAAAAAAAGGAAGGGATCATGTGTAAAGGAAGATATAAATATATATATATATATATATATATATATATATATATATATGGTAAGGATCATTTTATACCGATGTAAGTTACACCTTTAATCTTGACTGTTGAGTCCATTTATATCTAAGAGCTCTAATTCTTTTTTGTAATATGAGCCATTGGATACAAGTGGATCAATAATCAAGATTGAGTGTAACACTTCTAACTCTTACACAATGTAAGAATATCCTACCCTATATATATATATATGTGTGTGTGTGTGTGTGTGTGTAAATATTTCTACAGCAACTTTAGATAAGCTTATCTACAGCTGTCATTTTTAACTATATTCTCACGGGAGAATATAGTTATAACGTTAAAGTTGCTCTTTTCTCTCTCTCCACGTCAGCAAAAAAGTTCTGAAAAGTAAATGAGGAGAGAGAAAAAAGAGCAACTTTAACGTTATAATTGTATTCTCCCGGGAGAATATAGTTAAAAATGTCAGCGGTAGATAAGTTTATCTAAAGTTGCTCTAGAAATACTTTTGCCATATATATATGAGGTGTGATCCTTTAACACCAGTGTCAAATTTTAAATTTGACACCTCATCTGATAGTCTTTAGATAAAAAAAAATCAATAGTGTCACATGCTTACAAATCAGAGTCGTTGTTTTTTTGATCTAACGGCTCTCAGATGATGTGTCAAAGGATCCTATATATATATATAATTTCATTATTTTATTTATCTTTAATCTCTTTGAACCTAACTAAACAATGAGGAGGTCTTTCCTAAACAACTTATTGATACCCCAATTTAGAATATTATTGTTAGTTTGACCTCCTTAGCCATATTAATAAATAATGCTTGTTTTGTGTGTAAACCTATACAAATTCCCAATGAAAATAATGAGCTTTCTGTATGGTAAATTAGAATGCATGCATGCCAAATATTTTATGACATGTTAGGTTAAAATTAAACTTAAACATAATAATCATTTCAGAGGAAATGTTTTAAAGCATGCAACAATTTCTTCCCCGCTTCTTGTTTCGCTTCTGATATCATTTCTACGAGTATCGAATCTGAGATTTAAGATGCTTCATACTTGACATGAAATTCAAGCATCTAGGCAATAGGTATCATAGTTGGAACACATAAGTGATCACTCATGTCCTTTAATATATATATATGGTAATCTAGGAGCGACCGAATGATTTAGGAACATGCTTTCTCTTTAATGGAAGTCAGAATTTGTGTCATTTTCATGTATTTAGAATGTGTAAAGGGTTTTTGAAGAATCGTGATTGAGACGATGACTCGTCAATTAATATACACCCCATGAAATAATTTTATTATTTGATTTCCAAAGGATCAATCAAACATTGCGACCCCATTTTCGGGGGTAAGGGGATAAGTGAGGAAAGTGGCAAAGTAATTTTTTATTTGTTATCGAGAAAGTAAATTTTATTTCAACTTGCTGACGCTTGGTTGCATTAATGTTAGGCCATCTCTTAGCCTCTTAGGTGATAACTGATATCTAACATCGTTAAGCATGTGGGAAGTTGATATATATATTAGTCATATCTTGGCGGAAGCCAATCAAGGTCTTGATTTCCCAACAAAATTTAAAGCAGTTCAGGATAAATAACTGGAGGTTTCTCCTAAACTCTCCTTTTTCTTATATATATTCCTTCCTCTCTCTTTTTTAAAAAAAATTCTGGAGTAGTGATTTAATTCTTTTTTTTTTTGGTCAGGTTGGACTTATTTACGTTCCATATATAAGGGCAATTCAAATCTCTGCACTTGAAATAAAATCGATATTCACATGAAGCTTAATTGTCGACTGAGCCACTATGAAGCACCAACACCTCAAAAATCCTGATGTGTCGTGTCGGACAGTCCCGGACACTCCAACGTGGGTTGTAGAAACTCAAAAAAAGATTCAAAAGTTGCGTTGTGTTGTGTTTTTAGTTCTAATTATTATATTCGTTGGATTACTATTACCATTTTATTGAATTTAATATAAATATTTGTGATATTTTATGTTTCTTTGCAAAATTAATGAGTATTATAAATTTATCTTTATTTTTTTGTTAAATTATTGAATATTAAATATAATATACGCAACGAAAATTAAAATATTATTTAATATCAAAATGTGTCCTAACGTATCAAAATCTAACATTTTTTAGAATTACCGTGTCAGAATATCGTGTCGTGTCGTGTCCCGTATCCCGTGTCGATATCGGTGCTACATAGTTGAGCCATACACCTCATCGTTAAGTAGTGATTTGACCCATAACTCTACTCTAGGCGGCTTGTGATGTTATGATAAATTGTACCTTACATTGGGAAAAGATGTATATATAAATTTTTACAAATTATATTACGTATTTTTGAAAGTAGGTAGTGCAATCTAGTATACTTTTTGAGAGTACATAATATAGTTAGTAAGAGTTTATAAACAAAAAATTTATAAATATAATCTTTCCTTCTTTTTATGGTGTTGAGAAATTTTCTCTGAGAAAGAAAATATACATATCTGTATAAAATCAAATCTAAATTATGTAAATCTTCTGAGCAGAAAATTAATTAAATGAATTGCTGATTATTGTCACATTTTTCTTTTAATGAAAAGTTTCTTAAACAATCAAAATAAATTATTTATAGATCTTAAGTCAATAGAATTTATTTATATTCATCAAACCATGTAACATGTGCATTTAATTTTAATTATTTTAAACTTTACTCAGAGGCACCGTTACCGTTAAGAAAAATAAAAAAATTGTCTATATATATAGGTCAATAGGTCATTATGAAAAAATTTAGTCATCAAATTCTAAACTTGGTCGCCTCAGATAAGTACTATACTTGGAAATTGTTATTATTATTGGCCGAACAAACGAGATATACTTATCTACTTATGTAGTAGCTAGGTACGTAATACTTATGTAGTAGGTACGTAATCCAACATCAGAGGTTTTAGTTTAAAATCAATGATCTGTTCTTTTTAGGTCTTAGTCTGGTGGTACGTGTAATCTCTACAACACAACAATAAAGCAACTTGCACTCATATTGTCCACAAGTTCTGATTAATACAACATTATTTACTGTACTTAGTAAAAATTATGGACAGCATTAGTTAAAGAAATTAATTAAATATATATTGATATAAAAGGAAAGGGAAAGGTAGGGGGGACCGCGTTCTCCATAATTGATAAGTTGAGTCATTTTCTTTAAACATCTCGGGAAGTCAATTGCTCCACGAACCCTATAAGATCCATAAATATGGTTATATCAAAAGACATAAACCTAACTCACAGCAATAAAGGGTATTGCCAGTCACTGTGTGCATTACGATGTGTTTGAGATTCGATATTAAAAGAAAAAGTAAAATAAGGAGGAGATTTTTTTTATATTTTTCTTTTGTTTTTTGAATATTTTTTTTTTTTGAATATTATATTTTTCTTTTGTATATGAATTTTAAAAAATAGGGAAAGATTAAGGGAATATGATTTTTTTTTTAAATTCTCCAATATTTTTTTTATCTTTAAATTTAGAGTTTTCCCAATTTACAAGGTTTGAGAGGAAAAATAAAATAAATTACTTCTGTGCTTTTATTAATAATTTTAAATTAGTTATAATGTGAAGTAGATAATTTTAGAAAAAAAAATACCTTTTGAAAATAATATTTTAGAGGAATAATTTTTTTTAAATGTGAATATTACATAAATAATTTTTTAATAATTTTTAAATTTAATTTAATTTGTAAAATATATTATATTAATTTTTTTAAAATAGATAAAATTATAAAAATATCTCATTAACTCTCCATTTTTCTCGGTTATCATATTTTTAACTTAAAAAAAAAATACCTTTTATTTTTCTTTCCTTCATTCTCTTCCTTTTTCTTGTATCATTTTCTTTTCCATCCAAACTCCCTAACACATAAAACTCACTTGCTCTTGTTCATAAGGTGCCATGTCATCAATACAGATAATTATATGGTGAAAAAAAATAAAATAAAAAATTATATGATGCACATACACATAGATATGCACATTTTGCATAAGCATAAGAGCTCGAATATATTTATATATAGAGAGAGGGGTACTTGATCACCGTTGTGAGCAACGTGTCTGTGTTTGACACGATTAAAATCGACCCTTGTTTTTTTCTTTTTTTTTGGATAACAAAATCGACCCTTCTTTATAGATACAAATGGGTGATAATAGAGGCAAAGTACTCTCAGACAGAGAAGACTTTAAGTACAATTTCACAGCTGCAACTGCAAGTGGAACCTCTTCTCAGGATGGGTTCATTAAAGAGCAAGATCGATTGCTTCCAATAGCTAATGTGGGGAGGATTATGAAGCAAATCTTGCCTCCTAACGCCAAAATCTCAAAGGAAGCTAAAGAAACCATGCAAGAATGTGTGTCAGAGTTTATTAGCTTTGTTACCGGGGAAGCTTCTGACAAGTGTCACAAGGAGAAGCGCAAGACCGTTAATGGAGATGATATTTGCTGGGCCTTGGCTACCCTAGGGTTTGATGACTACTCTGAGCCACTCAAAAGGTATTTGTATAAGTATAGGGAATTGGAGGGTGAGAAAGCTAATCAAAATAAGGCTAACAACACTGATGAAATCAATATTGAAACATATAATAATTATTGATGTAACTCACCAAAACCATGGAAAGCAACCACTGTTAAGTTTTAATCATTGTGATTCGTAGGAGTAGAGTGGCCTTCAGTCCCGGGGAATTTTCAAGCTGTTTAGTTGTTGTTGATGTTCTAGTTTTCTCCCAACTTTATAATTTTTACATATTCAAGGTGCTTGTATCTTTATATAATGTGACCAATATATGTATATGGGTGTGTTTTAGTGCTGATCTTATGTCCAGGGTTGAAATTATTGGGTTTTAGACACTAGATTAACATGTAGTGACTTGAGAATCATGTAATTTATAGCCAATCTTTGTATTTGTGGTCTGTCCAATGATAAGAATTATTTCCAGAAATCACAAGCAATTAAGAATACCATATGCATCATCTTGACTTGTAAATTGGGAATTTGAGTAACTTAATTTGAAGTTGTTGCATCCTGGTTCTCCGATGCTCCCAGCTGATCCATTGTTCCAAGTTCAGCCACGAGTAAACGGGTGAGTACTTGCAATAGGTACTCTGCATAAGTTAATCTCTATTAGAGATGGAGAAAATAGAAGAATCGAAAAGAAAACTTTGAAGTTACTAATCCCCTTACTTTGTGGCTGGACTTGGAGGAGTGGTAGTGGTGAAGTCAAAGATCACCTAGGAGCTAGGTGCCCCTCCTCAAATTCGTCAAACCTTTTTCTCAAATTATATTCAAATTTAAAATAAAGATAGTCTAATATTTTCACCAAAAAAGGGTAGTTTAATATAGGTTCATCTCCCTTTGTCCTTGTTAAGTTGTTAGGAGAAAACTTAACATTTCTTTAAATCCGACTACTTAAATTAGTGGGCTTTTGACCTAACAAATGTGTTATTCAGAATATTCCATTAGTTTAGTTCTTTGACCAAACATATTACTGGACTAATGCAGAAAGACGCGTATCAAGTGGTTACGCATTTAGTCGCGCACCTGACACGTGTTTTTCATGTGATAACATAAGTAAGACATGCACATATATGCCTCTAGGCACGTTAGTACCAGTGCGCATTTCAGTCCGTCCAGTCTGATCGTGTCAGTTCAGTCTAATCACGTAAGTATCAGATATATGTTTCAGTTTGTCTGCCACATAATACATGCATGTGTCAGGTGCGCGACTATAGGTGTAGTCACCTGATGCGCGTCTTCTTGCATTAGTCCCTGATAATACGTTTGGTCAAAAAACTAAACCGGTGAAATATTTCCAAAAACACATTGTTACGGTCAAAAAGACTAAATTAGTGTGAATTTTGAATTTCTCGGTCCCTCTCACAAGATTTTTGGACTCCAAATTGAATAGCGAAGAGCTAGAAGCATAAGAGAACCAAAATGGAATAGTTAATCATAGTAAACAAGGCTAACGGATTAAGCCTGTTTCCTGTTATTTGGATCTTACTAACCTGTCTGTAAATGTCAGCTAATCGAGATGCAATTCAAGATTTCTCACTTTGAAAAACTGATCGGTGGGGAACAATGGTAGTTTTGCTTTAAGTCCTATAGGTGATATATAGATTCTTTAGATGAAAATATGTTTGCCTCGTGCCTCTATATATATGAATATCAGATTTAACCGTCTTTGTTGATTTACTTGACGCACTTAGCAATTAGCATAACTATGATGCTTAGGGTTTTTGTTTTGTCGAATCGTTTTGCTTAATTCAATATGTTTTTTCGTGTTTTAACATATTTTTTCTAGTCATATAATTTGACATATTATATCTCGATATGAGCAATAAAATGGTAATTAGGGTTCACCAAACAAACTTGAAGTAATTTTGCTACAAATCTTTACAAGCTTGTTTCTGTTCTCATGAGAGAAAATTTTGAGGCAATTTTGGAGCAACAAAAGTTTTCATTTTATATTATTCGGTGGGTTTGTTGTGTAAGACGTAAGTCATTGTTGTTTCTTTAACAATATTTTTAATGTCATAGTTAAGGTGACACACATTACGGTATTGAAAATTCTTGTGAGAATGTTATCAAAAAAAAAAAAAAAAAAATTCTTGTGAGAATATATGCCTACAAATTTATTTCTTCTCAATTAGATTTTTTTACTTAATAAACGATGACACTGTTGATAATTAGCCAAATTTAAACAGTGAATGTGAAGGTAGTGAATTTGCATAAATCACAACCGATGCAAACACTATTGCATGTAGAAACTCACAAACCCTTTGGCGATTTATAATATTTTAAATTGAAATCACTCCTACGTCTTTGAATAATTTTTAATAGAATAATCTTATCTCTAATTAAAAGATGCTATCATAAACCACCCAAAAAAATAGTTGATATCATATATATATATCACAATTATAAAATATTATATTAACATAAAATTATTTAGTACTTCATTTATATATACTTTTAAAATATATCAAATTAAGAACCATTTGATTATATATTCTTGTTCAAAATTGACAAGATTTGATAAATAAATAAAAAACGGTAATGGATAGTTATGTTTTTACGGTTAAATCGACAAAAATCAAGAGTTATTAAATGCTATAAGAATTTTAAGCCTCACAACAGAACAAAACAATCCATACTCCTATATTCATATGTAGATATTAATTTATATCAGAAAAATATTTCTACACCATCAATGATTTTATATAAAATGTGATTTTTATCCATTAAATTATTAAATAAATTATTATACATAACCTTAATCAATTGTTTCGAAAATCTACTAATAAAATAATACTAATAATACAATTGATGGTTATTGTTTTTATATATTTCAAAAATATGTATTTCAATAATATTGATACATACTAAAAAAAATTAATTCAACAGTTTGTAATTTAAAAATTATACAATAATATAAGAGTGATTTTAACTTGAATATATATACTAATTTCTCTCTCTCTCTCTCTCTCTCTCTCTCACACACACACACACACACACACACACACACACACACACACACACACACACACACACACACACACACACACACACATATATATATATATATATATATATATATATATATATATATATATATCCTTTTGGGAATCTTTATGAGTTACTCATATATATAGTCCGGTATCCGATATACATCCATTTGGCTAGCACGATGTGTTCACCGGCAAACGTAGTTCAAATTCAAAACCCTAGCGAAATCCTCTGGGACCACATATTTTTGGCTCTACATTCCACACTTGTTTTGTCGTATAATATTGGATTTGAACTAAAATAGTTGCTGGGTCTCGATGAACCTGACACGTTTTATGCATTTAATAATCATCTTCGAACAAGTGAGGATGACTCTGTCAAAGTCTATTGGAAGTTTATACTTAAAGTACATTCTTCGAATATTCACCTATCTTAGAATCTTGTATCAATTAATTTTATTGGTCGAAATGATTGTTGCATATAAGCTACAAAAACTCCAAAAATAATAAAAGACCGGTCAATATTAATTAATATTGATGAAAATAATTTAGCATTTAACTCTTTTTTAGGATAAATACTAAAAGGCGAGGGAGCTCTTGGTGGAATACCATCATTAATGGGTTAAGCTACATTATTACCCGTAACAAGTATGTCCGACATCATATCTAAACTCAATGCCTTCTTAATCCATTTGAAGACTTTGGGTTGAGATATAGTGTATGGTCCAATTGCTTCGGTTCGTGTAGGTTAGCCCATTGGTGATTATAAAGTCCCATCTTGATTATGGTTTGTTAACTTGCAAAATGGTATATAAAGCGCATCTTACTTAAATAAAGTAGATGAAGACTAAATGAAAGTTTCACTATTACACAATGCGGTAATTTCATGAGATAACTTTTTATTTTTATTTTCCTTACGTATTGTCATGCAAATAGTATTTATCTTGTTTCCATGAATTGTACCCGACATACACGTACAAAATCATTATTTGAATCCCTGTGACCATAGTCAATGATCAATGACTATCCGAATATGATAACATGTACCATTTCGGACAGAGGCAAACAGGCAGCGTAATGACTGTAAATTGGACTAATGCAGGTATAAAATTCCAAATTTAAACTTGTCACCTGAAATACAGAAAAATCCAATCCAATACATGTACTGAATCTGTGTCATTACATATATCCTCTACTTTACTTGTCAACGTACATACTCATACATAATAATTGAAACATGTCACTAAATAAATACATACTTATCTGAATAACAAAATAAACATACATACTGTCTAATTATGTATTTCAAAATAATAATAGGCCATATACATCAGTGAATAATGGTCATACATTATGACCTAAAATAATATATATATATAGGGATTGTTTTTCTTATGTTACATAAAATAAAACAATCTTCCTACACATACAAATTTTATGTTGGTCCCATTTTAAATTTTTTCTCTTTTTCTTATTCTCTCTCATCTCTCTTCCTTTTGTGAGTATAGGAAAATTACTTTTATCTTATGTAACATAAGAAAAATAATTATATATATAATTATATATATATATATATACAGTCTCCCAAAAGAAACTACAAGCATGCTCCAGTCGAGTCCTCTAGCCCTGTACAGGCCTCTTGCCATGGAAGGGCTTTCCTACTGCTAGAGTACTTGAAACATGTCCCCAAATGAGGTTAGATAAAAATCTTGTAAACTCACGGTTTATGGAGTGATTCTCCGCACATGAGTTCACGTCCTGCATGAAGGATCAGATAACATAGTATAGAGAAAATCATATATTCCACAATATATAAGAGACCTCCAGGGGCTATATCCCGCAAGGAGAGTCCACAAAAATACCTCCAAGAATCTTAGTCCTCACAAAGTTATGCATGATAATCCTAAGGCTTGGTCCCTAAGGATCGTATTTCTAGGGGTTGTATTCTGAAAGGAAGGTACAAACAAATACTTCCGAGAACCTAAGTCCTCACGGAGTCATACATGATAGTCCATGGGTTGTGTCCATATAGACTATACACTTCTAAAGGTTGTGTCCGGCTGGAAGGTACACACATGTATACATTCATTGGCCATGAACCATAATTCCACATGTCACATCATAACATGAACATGTCCTATATG